TGAAATTGCAGCGCCTGCAAAACAAGGTTCTCCGCACGATTGGCAATTTTCCAAGGCGCACACCGGTCCGCGATTTGCACATGGCATTCAAAATCCCGTACGTATATGATTACATAACAAAATTATGCAGGCAACAAGCAGAAGTCATACAAAATCATGATAATGAGAATGTTCGCAACATCGGACAAGGCGAAGCCCGACACAGAAAGTATAAGAGGCTTAAACTTGGCGGCGGTCAGGCATACGACCGTTCAAGTGACTAGACTGCCGTGGTAGCTAATAATACTAGGATATTTATATAAAAAGGGCATAATCTGCTGTACCTAGCCTGGACTGACGGAGGCCGTGTATATATGTACATTTAAATAAGAAATAAGTGTATTATAAATATGTGTAAATACAGACAGTGGACTTAGTATTACAGACTGACTGACAAATGACAGACCCGACCTCTCGTCAGAGAGGGCGCTACACATGGACAAGACAGTAACTTTCATTAAAAAGAAATATCTGGTCATGAGCCCCAGCTGGGGCTCGACACCAAGACAGACAGACTGACTGACCGTCGGTTGCAACGTGACTCAGACTCAGACTCAGACTCAGACAATCAGATTGGTTAGCGCGCGTGATGGTGGAAAGCGATGTGAAGGGCGAGCGTTGCAGAAATGCGTGATAATGTGGGATGTTCCCACACACCGTACACATAAAGTCGAACATTTCACAATCACAGCAGCTTCCTGGCGTTGTAAAGTTTTTAAAAGTTTCTAGATGTTATTTAAAAAACCTTTATTGTCAGTAGTTAAAATTTGTATTTTTAAACCACATAGGTTCGTGTCCATACTCCTATCGTTCTTCTTGTAGGGGGCAGATTTTGTGCCGCCTGTCTATCTTGATGAGGAGGTTCTTGATGTCTTCCAGGGTTTGTTCGTGGCTTGCTATGTTGTTTTCTCTTCTCCAAATCGTCCAGGCCTTCTCTGGGGTCCCTATCAAATGGGTACCGGAGGCTCTTTCCCAGGGGGTAAAGCGTGCTGGGTGTGAAGCTGACCACTCACCTCCTGCTTGTGCCAAGGACAAGAAAATGTGGATCTATACATCCACTCCCCCATATGCCTTCATGGCATTGTGCTTAATTCGTTGAGCACAGGGACAACTTTACTTCACATATGGGCTTAACATTTTAAATTGCTGTCAATTTCTATGCCAAGGAATTCTGTTGCTTCATGATACCATAGTTATGAAGTACGTAATAAATGGTATGTTTTCGTTATCCGAGGTACTTAAAGACCATTCCCTTAACTTCTATTAAGTTCTAGAAATACTTGAACTGTTAGAAATATATTATATGGGCACGTTACCGTTTCTTGTTCCCTATTCGGTTCCCTCTCTTACTTAGCTAAATGAAAGAATCATGAGTGGTATGAACAGTAGTGGTGTTCCATTCCTCTTCAACATAGATAAAAGCAACGTTCAATGTAACTATTTTTCCTGACCTTATTTAACTAAACCACCTAATCCGATAACCCGTGCAACGACGTCCCACCCCCTTAACTCAAATCGTAGGCCCACAATAGTGGCCGAAGTGGTATATGAATGAATGAACGAATGCTCTGTTGGGCAACAAGGATACTTTCGGTCCGTTCCTTACTGACCATTCCAACAATGCCGTGCTTTATCCTGTGGAACGTCTCACGCAATGTGACTTCTTTCTACAGTTTTCTTGTACGTAAGAAGGTCGAGAGCGAGGAGAGTGAGACTAATCCACGAAGTTCTTGTGATACCACGGATCATGAAAAAGAACGGAAGGAAACGTGTTTGCACTAGATGCATTTTCATTTTTGAAAGATAACTTAAATAATTCTATGTACGAGAAATTAAAAAAAAAAATAGTTTCTAAGTTTCAGTACTGGGACGCAATTTTCCGTAGACGGAACAATTGTGTTCTGAAATTGGGGGGGGGGGAAGGTTGGAATCATGCAATCCGGCAACCTGGTGACATTAAATGTAGGTAGCTACCACGGAAAAAAAACAAAGTTTCTGAAATGTAAGTGCAGATTATAGTTCACGGGTATCATAGTTATTGTATACATTGTACGTATAAGGGATGGGTCATAACAACCGCGCCTAGCACTGTGGCCTTCAGTGTTGTACTGTGCATTATCATATACAATTGTACACAGTTCCACAAT